TTCTGTTCATTGAAGAAATGGCTGTAACACTACATATGGACAGCATTGTCCTACCATTGAAGGTCAAGTGGTATTTCAAAGTTATGGCTTCCTTTACGTTTTAAATGAGAAAGACCAGTCATGTGCCACTCTAGGTAAATTTGATATCACTTGTTAATTAAGAACCATTAGGTTTGAATAGTCTGGTATGTAATCTTGAAGAAGGTAGTTTGGCGAGCAGACATCTTATGATCCAATAAAAGTGATAGTCCAACAAGTACACAAGTTCACACGCTATGTTTGTGTTAGTGATATAACAAAGTTTGTTCATTTGTGTTTTACACTGTATCCACTCTCTTAAGTTTTCACACAAATTCAGTTATTTAATAAATGTTAATAAACATTTTGTCGAATATCCTGTAATTTATCAGATCTATCTCAATGGACAATTATATTCATCGGATGTTACCTGACTGCCAGTGCAAAGATCTTTGTTTAATTACATATATAGTTAGCTCTGCTTTACAAGAATATTTACCATGAGAAAATATATGTGACACCCTAGTTGAATGCCAAGTTCAGTAGGTAACTATGGTGAGAGAAAATTGGTGGCTCCATTGATTTGCATTCTTTATTAAGACTACGTATCCAATACGTATAGAAATTTTGAAAATTTTCACTTTAAATAGAGCGATAGGAAACATAGTAAGCCTGTATACCACAAAATCATAAATATCCTTATATACACGGTGATGTTGGCTACAACTACTCTGTTAGTTTATACCAAAGAGGATGGAACATAGTGTTTAACTTCTTTTGATTATACCACTCTTGACTGATTCTTACGATAGAGATGATATAGCTAAAATAGTTAGTGGTTTCACCTATACATAACCAGTTTAGAATAGATATGTCTTTATTCAAGTAATTTTTAAAAACATTTTCGCACAGGTGTTCAGCATGTATGTATAAAATTATCATGAACTGATACTGAAAAGTTGTATGCATGCTTGTCTTTTTACATGAATAAAAGTTACATAAGGCAATAGCCCTAAGTCTGTCCATTCTTTGGAGGAGGAAAGACTGATTGGAAGGGGTGACACAGATATTTTTACAAACTAGTATAAGTTGGAAGTGTTTTCTCCTGTAAACGTTATTTTGAATAGTCAATCACATACAAAGCTTTGAGTTATGGAATACAACACTTGAATCCCTTTTATAATTTAAAAATGCAATAAACATCGATTCTTGCTGCTTTTTTCCCTGTGCAGATGTGTTTAGAAAATTCCTTTCTGCATCTTAGCATTCATTCAGTTGAAGTCAACAGAAAGATGTAAGGTGGCTAGTCTAGTAAATACACTAACAACACTTAACATGAGTATAGATTTGTCTACTTGTTCATTTATAATAAATATAAAAAACACGGTAATATTAAAAACATCTTTAATTACAGACGTTTCAGAATTTCCTCTAATTCCATCATCAGCGTTAAAATCTCAAAGAAAACTTAGTTCATAATATTTGAACCACAGAAACAACATTAACTATAGAGCGAAGTTTTGTGTTCAATCGTATTTATGCTTGTGTGTTTTCTCTTATGTTCCTATTCGATTTATTATTCACTTAACAGCTCTTAATATGAGTACTTGTCGATACTTTTAACTATCCGGTGGATATTAGCATACCTGAATATCACAGTGAGTAACATTTAAGGTTAAAATAGCATCTGACTTACATTAAATTTAGAATGTAAAGCTAGAATGCAAAGAGAAAAAAAATTGTCACCAAGTTAAATATATAGAGTATGATATGAGATATTTTCACACTTCAACCTCGTTTAGTAATAACAGTCATTTCATTCAATAACTCAATTAATAAATTCAAAATATAAGTTGTGTTTCTGCAGTACATAAACATATCGCATGTTTTATTCCTGCTTTAGTTATATAGAAATATTAAGCACTTTTTGGTTGTTTTGTTTTCAAGCCACAATGGAGGAAATACATGGTCCAGAAAGTCGTTAAGATTTCCGTGTTCTAGTTGCTTTGATCCTTTGTTTTCAGTAATATGTAATATCTATTCTACTCGAGAGAATATTGCAATAATATTTAGTGGAAAGGATTAGCAATGTAATATCTTTTGCCGTCTGAGTTTAAATAATACAGCCAATCAATTATGTGAGATACAAAGGTCACAAGATGACTCTATTGACTGACCAAAGAAAGTGAGTGTAGTACTGGGCTGTATTACAGGTTTCTTACTACTTTTAGTTTAAAGTTAACTCCTCTAATTTCTTTTATTTTTCACTATAATTCCCAAAATTTGGATATAGCATTGCTTAAGCAGATTTGTAACTTTAACTTTTCCCAGGGACTAATTAGGTCAAGTAGAGATAAAGTGCCTTCTTGTCTGACTTTTGTACAAGAATAACAACATGCTTTTTGATTAGCATGCTAAGTTATTCTTGTTGGTGAATCGGGCATTAGTTGTAGGTGGACTTGCTAAGTATCTTCGTACTCCTTGGCCAACTGATCTAACAGGCACCAGTCACTGTTTTATTCTATCAGAAACTCGAGAGTTTATTTATGGTTATATTTTAAACAGTGTTGAAGCCTGAGAGGGCACGTTTGTACCAGAATTTGTGCAAACTTATACCAGATTTTCCAGATATTTTGACCCAACAATTTATAAAGGTTTCCAAACTTTGCACAGATTTTATCAGGTCTTTACTGGATGTTTTTATAGACTTCCAGTAGATTTTCACTCATTGTTTCTATATCTTTCACTCCTACATAAGCGCTCTTAAAGTTCTCACTTTCAATTACTCTTAATACGTTTATGTATTTTTGTGTAATTTTACTTGCTGAGAACTCTTCAAGTAACTCTTTTCTTGTAACTTCAAATTTAACTTTCAATTTTATTTTTGCAGGCGCCATTTAGCTTTTGTATATAATGTAGTTAAGTTTTTATTTTAGCTCACTAGCGTGTGAATAGTGCATAAGTTTCTTCAGAAGATGATAGAACATAGGATTTATTATTTAAAGAATGCAATATTATTATTATTGTTATTTAGTACGGTTAAGGTGAGAACTAACTTTATTGTGTTACATTTTAACTTGGGACAATCTATGTTGATTTTATTTTTTACTTTCACATACTAGCTTAAGTTAAAGGGGAGAGAACACGCACTAGCAAGAGTATGTTATTTAATAAAGTCTCAATTGCTGTTGGTAGTGGCACACCTTTTTTAGATACACATATAAAAACAAGGTCACTTGCATTATATTGTGTAATAATACTTTGTTGTTTTTGCAAACTGTCAATATTTCAATTACACATTTTTTCTTGTGTAAATCTGCGTGTCCTGTCTCACCTGCCTGAAAACACACCCACATAGTAGTCCCTGAGCCTCCTGTTTCTGCAGGCCGCACATCTGTGCTTTGTCGGAAAGTCTCAAGATACCATCGGCCCATATGAATTAACCTGCTGAATTCAGGTGCGTTTTCTCTAGCCATTTCTACTAGGATATCGTCAACTGAAAGCATACTTCAAAAACTTTGTGCTTTAGTTATAAAAAGGGAAAAAAGCTGTGGAGCTAAATTCAGCCTAGTAAGAGCAATTGTCTTTTCATCTGTGCGAATATGCACACTGTGCTTTCTGCTTGTTTATTTAATATAAAGACTTTGATCATGCACTTACTTTTGTCCACATTCATTATTTTACTCTTAAAGAACTTCAGTCTAATTGTCTACTACAGAACACTTCCCGTATTTCTGGATAGAATTTGCTGTTATTGCCTACCTGATACTTGTAAGGAAATTGGTTTTACATAAAAATGCTACATTTCTATAAATGGCTTAAAAATATATATTTCCTCCTACTGTTTGGACGTTTTATGTATTTAATACTTTGAAATACTGGTTGTTATAAGTAGTACTATTCCATGCATAGCTACCTTACTGTATTATTTCATGTCATCATTGCTTTGAATTTTACCACAGTCATTTGTAATTTCACTGAAATTTCTATTACAATATACATTCATTATTTCGACTGTAAACATCGTTAACAACTATGGTACCCAATTGGTGAAATAACACATTCTAATCGTGATGTGGTGAAATGTAAGAAAATAATATTTAATTAGCTATACCGATGGCCAGTTCCCC